CCACAACGGGGCTGGAAGGAGCACGTCCTCCCTCATCTGCGTGTTCCTCAGCAATAACCCTGCGAAGCAGACAAGACTGGCATCATTTCAATGTTACAGATGAGAAAATACAGGCTGTTAGGGTACTGAATTGTGTACTCTAACTTCAGCAACTTAGAGTACCACTGTGTTTGAAGAGAGGGTCTTTAAAGAGGTAATTAAGTGAAAATGACATCATCAATAGGCTCTAATCCAACATAACTAGTGTTCTTATAAGCACAGGAGATTAGGACACAGACATGCACAGAGAGAAGACCGTGTGAGGACACAGGGAGAGGGTGGCCGTCTACAAACCAAGGAAAGGGGCCTTTGAGAAACCAACCCTACCGACACCTTGATCTTGGACTTCTGGCCTCCAGAATTGTAAGGAAATAAATGCCTACTGTTTAAGCCACCCAGGCTGTGGTACTTTATTCTGGCAGCCCTAAGAGTCACAGGTATCAAGGGACTCTGCTGGGGTCACACCCAAGAAAGACAGAGTCAGGCTTCTAGCACTCTTCTTCTTTCTTTCCCCCGGAATAATACTTAAAATAGTGGTGTCTGTTTTTAGAGTTAATATTTTTATCTGTAAATAAACACTTAAAAGATTAAGATGAGAAACTCAGAGCAGCATGTTTAATTCCATTTATTTTGGGTTCTTCCAGTTGAGATGCAGAACAACATGGGAGACCATCACTACCACTGAAACAACAAAAAAAACACTGCATAAACTATGAAATCATTTTTTTTTTTTTTTATCCACTGGAGAGCCAAGGTCTCAATGAAGTTGAGAGGAGAACCAAATCTCAGAGGGACTGAGCCCTTCCTAAGTGAGCCAAGACCGGTAGCCACACGTATCCCCACAGCCCAGGTGGGATGAGGAGCTGAAGCAGCCGCAGACAGAGGACCTTGTAGAAGTGAGAAGGAACCAGCCAAATTCTTATCAACCATGTGAGCCGAAAGGATGGATTAGATCTGGAGGAGGGGTGCCCTGAATCTACTGCGCCAGACTTTTACCAAGTATGGCAGCCTGCAGGAAGTCGGGACAAGGACAGAGAGCAGAATGATACCTCCACGGTGACGTGGAGACTGGGACCTACGCTCTTCCAGTCCTGCCTCAAGACATGTGAAACCAGTGGAGAACTGAAAGTAGTTAAAGTTGCAATCCAGATCAACCCACCTCAACTCCCGATTAAGCAGTAGAGTTGATCTCCTGAATCCGCTGCCGCTTTGTCACTACAAGAGAAGCCAGCTGAGAACAGGCTGTCAGAGAGAGAAACACTTGCCGCGAAGCCCAGCCTGGCTAAGCCTACCTGAGGTCCACCCTCCCGCTCTGCTCCTCAGTTCCATGAGCCCGGGACAGTGATGTTGAGTGGTTAAGCCGGTCTGATTTGTCATTTCCAACCAAAGGAATCTTAATGGACGTAAACAGGAGTCCCAACCAATGATTTATTACTGATCATATATAAAATTGTTAGGCAAATTATTGCATAAGTTGGCAATACGCAATTTCTGAAGAGTTATGGCATCTTCTAAATACTCACTAAAATGCACTTTATAACACTACAAATGAACCAAACAATACTACAAAATAACTACAATGGTTTTTTTAAACAATCATAACAGAACTGAAAGTAGACATCAATGTCTTTGCAGATACCATTGTTGGGTGGTGTATTCGTGTTTTAACGAGCACACCGAAACACTGTCGGATCCCTACCTTGACAGTGCCTTGTAGGAAGTTTTAATATTCTGCCATCTACCTCAACCATCCACATGTTACATCTACCACGATGGAGGAGACAGAGATTGAAATTGTTACTAAAGCCCATGAAAATGGGGAGATTCTAAACTGAATCCAAATGGAGAAATTAAAATAAGCACAGAAGACAGATTAAAAAGTTTTGAAATCAAGATTGAGAAACGTTTCAAAATAGCCAAAGTACCATTTTCGCTGTTGAGAATAGCCCCCCAAACCTTTAAAAACTCATGCTGTGAGACCAAAAGAACGAACAAAAGAGAAAGAAAAAAAGAAAGGCTCACAGACTCCATATTTTTCATGCCAAGTTCCAATCTGGAGTGACACTTTATGAATCATTTTATAAGGTCCTAAAAATAAGAAGCAATAAAGGTAATAGGATCCTCTCTCTGGGAGCCCCAAAGACTGCTAGAAATGCAATTTCTTCCCTATGAGAAGGCAGTGGGTTCTTCCAGGTGGCCTTGTCCCTGTGTTAGTCTCTCTGTCTGCCTAGAGAACAGGGTGGCTTACCAGAGTTCAACTCTCAGGTAAACTGAGTGCTTCATGGAGAAGGAAGAATTATCAGACTCCTTCTCACCTGCAAGAGCCAGCCAGTTACTCCCAGGCCAGGTCCAAGGTTGGGGTAACACAAGATTCAAGACAAGGCACAATGACACCTAAGACAGCCATGTTCAGCCATAAAGAATATGTGCCCACAGGAAATCCTGGATGACTCATCTGATTCCTATTTCCAAGGAAGCCAAAAATATATCTTGCTGGTTTCCCAGTAAATTGATTTTCCCAATTTCTCAATGAAATTTCTAAATTCCCAGGAAGTCAACCCACACTCGATAGGACCTAACTGCTTTATCAGCGAAACCTATTAGAAGGCCCACTGTCCTTCTCAACACAGCAACAAAGTTTACGAGTATTTCACACAAAGCAAGAAGGACTGGAAAGAAATAGACACCTTTCTCCGGTGTCTGTGTTCCTACCCAGGACACAGTCCGAGTTGGCCCCACCTTATTAAGTACGCACATCGCCCTCACACTGCAGAGCACAATGACGTGAGACGTGGGGACAGTGAAGGGGAGATGGTTTTTTAAGCAAATTCAGAGATTTCTTGCATGGCTGCTCTTATTTAAACTTCCTTTCTATCACTTCCTCCCCACCCAGGTTTTGTTCATTTCATTTCCTTCATTATAGGCTAAACATTCTATCAAAAGGGTGCCTTGAAACCAGCCTCAGGGAGAAAAATGCAGACCCGAGCACAATTTATCATGTTGTCAGCAATCCTGGGTATCGCGCATGCCCCTAAAGAGGATGGCAGCGGGTAATGAGACAAATATTCCATGATATCATCCACAAACACCCTGGGTTTCTGATCCTGACTAGCAGTTGATGAGCGCCGGCTTGAATAGAGGGAAAAGTGAGACTAAAACGTATTTGCCCTTGGACTTCATTGTGGGGCCCCTGCCTGGTGGTTCTCACCTGAAGAACCCACTTCCGATGGCCCACTGGTGCTATTACTCATGTTTAATACTCCTTAGCGCGGTGGTTCTCAGCACCAGCTGAACATTAGAACTACCTGGGGAGATTTTAAATCACCAGCTGCCCAGACTGTGCCCGAAACCAGTGAAAGCAGCTCTCCGGGGGCAGGACCCAGGCGTGAGAAGCCGTTAAGCTTCCCCAGGTGATGCCAAAGGACAACCAGCCCTGAGACCCCCCTGCCTCGGTATAATCCCCCTGCCTCTGAAACAATATATTCAGATTAGCAGAAAATGCATACAGATGTAGAATGACCAATAGTCACTTACTTTGAAAGCAGATTAAAAAAAAAAAAAAAACAAAACTGCTCCACCAAGACTGTCAGGGGGCTGACGTTTAAAATAAGATCTCAGCATCAGGCCCGAACACACAACCCACCAACTTCCCCAAGCCCCTGCTTCCGATTCAAGAGTGTGTTTTAGTTACTAATCATTTCGTGCTGAGGTCCACCTTCCCCTACGTTTGTAAGGGTACAGGAAGGAGCAGAGCAAAACCCTCCTGTGTGGTAGCATTCTCTATCACTCAGAGCTCTCCTGGGGTTTCAGAGATGGCCTTGATTCAGCAAAATCGCCGCCGCTCTCTCCCTGCCGAATGCAGACCAGCTAAGGAGGGCAGCTACCTGGATAAGATCAGGTCTACAGGCAACAACTGAGCTAAGCTGCAACGCTTGTTCATATATCCCAAAGCTGTCCCAAAGGACAGTCATATCACTGATGTATTTCCAAGGTCGCTGGAATACCAGAGACACTATATTTTTTTTTATCCAAGGGTAAGTCTTTAAAACTACAAAAGCACAGCTCCCAAAGAGGAGCCGTGGGGTCCCATGCCCTCCATCCAGGGAGGAAATGCCACCTGTGAGCAGCAGTCTTCATCAGGGGACACTCCCAGGAAGACGGCTGGTGACACAGCAGTGGCCATTTCAGTGACCGTGAAATGTTCTTAAACAGCTGACCGTGAATCCACAGGTTGCTCGAACAGAGGCACAGAATATAAGAACCGTGGGTTCTCACCCCAAGCTACTTAGTAGAATCACTTTTAAAAACACGGACACCCCAGTCACACCCCAGACCAACTGGATCAGGATGCTGGGGGATAGGCCAGTGCCAGGTACTGTGTAAAGCAGTGGTTCCCACACCTTTGCACGCATCAGAAGCGCGAACCTGTGAAGCGACTGATTCCTGGACCCACCCCCCCAGTTTCTGATGCAGGAAGTCCGGGGCGGGGGGACCTGAGAACGTGCAGATGACAGGGTCCCAGGCCACAGCACTGATGCCGCTGAGAATCGTGGCTTCCGAGGCCCCCCCCAGGTGCAGCCAGGCCTGGGGACCCCCGCATTGAAGAGCCCGCTCTGGCCAGGGAGGGAGGGAATTCTCAGTCTAGCTCTGCCACCAACCTAGGGTTTGATAACAAATAAGCCATCAAGGTTTGGGGGACCTCAACTCGTTCCTGATCTATACAATCGAGGCACTGCATCAGTGGGATACTGGGTGCCTTCCCTCTTCAAAGGGCTGCTATACAGGAAATGCTAATGCTAATCCAGACAGAGGGGGAAAGGCGGTGGCCTTAGGGGAAATGAACACAACAGCTTAAAATACAGGGGAAGGAAGCTTGCTGCTCACAGGACTTCAGTGCGCCTGGGGACATGCAGTGGTGCCGAACGGCATGTGCTGTCCAGTGTGTGGTTTCCCAGACTCACCTGTTAGAACCTGGCAGAGCTGCCCAGGGACCTGGGCCTCGGTGGAGGGGCTGGGTGCCAAGGACCATTTGCGCCTGACCAGGTGCTCTCGTGTGCTGAGCGGGCCCTGGGAATTGTTGAGGGGCTGGATTAGCACCTGCTCCTGCCCAAGCTGGATGAGGCCAACCTGCCCAGAAAGAGGAAAAAGGGACATGAGTCATCCTCGTTCACGCACACCCACAACCCCGACAACCCGAGGGCAGCAAGGCCACCTGGCTATGGCCTGGGCCTCAGGTCTGGGCTTTTGCTTTGCAGCGTGCTCTGATTGACTGAGCCCAGGAAGGAGCATCTGTGGGACTTGAGACATCCCACCCCATGGCTATGTGGGGCGGGGGGGCACAGGGTCGGAGGTGCAGAGATATATACAACGGCACCCACTTCCCGGGTTCATTATTTTATTAGTAATAAAAAGAACTTTCTTTTAAAAGTTATTTTTAAAATCATCCTCCAAAAGTCCACTTGAGGAGGCAATGCCAAAAGTGTTGGGGATGAATGACAATTACATACTTAATGGGGGAAAAAAAAAGTATCTTATCCCTGGGGATATTAAGAATGAAAGGATGGAGCCAGTCTTATAGTGTTAATAGCTTTGTGATAGGGGATTTGTACATTTTTTCAGAACTTGTGGTATTTAAGAGAAATCGACGGAGTAGCCAATGGATTAGATTTGTGATTCTAATTTAAAGTCCATCATGGACTTAGATTCGTGATTTTAAAATCTTAGTAGGTTTAGAAGCAGTATTAGAATGTGTAAGAGAACTTAAGACTTCCCACGTTTATAAGACTCGCTTATTAGGTTTGTAGGAATCACTGATACACTTGCAAAGGGCTTCTTAGCCAACCAAAGAACTTGAAAAGGAAATTGACTACGTTACATTCCTCAATGCAGTTTTAAAGGTTTAAAAGTTGTTAATCACCAAATTTACAAGTGGCGCCAAATATCATCCAAAGTTCCCTTGAAAAGGATTGCAAAAAACCTCTGAGATAAAGGGGATTAAGAGTACACTTATCTAGATGAGCGTGGGCAAATGTATAGGATTGTTGAATCATATTGTACACCTGAAACTAATATAACACTTAATTATACTTCAATAAAAGTTTTTAAAACTTGCTAGATTAGAAATAGGACGTGACTTGTAAATTGAAGGAAAAATTTAGGAACTAGGATTTTTAATTTGCCACTTTAATAGAGTGAATATTAATTCTAAAATACATATATATATATATGGTGCAGAGAACTCTTCCCATCCCTTGGAACCAATGCTGAGGCATGAAACCAATTTGTGCTCCTTCCCTGGGATACCTGCTGCTAGCTTCCCTTCTGAGGTGTCAACAAAGCAAGGTAAACCTCCCACAAGGAACCCCACTGGGCCCCAGGCTGGAGGAGGACCCGAGTTTGCAAAATGGGCTGTGCGGCCCACAGCGCCTCCTCCGGGTGGATGCCCAGGACCACCCTGGCTAAACAGAGTCCATGGATCAAGCAGATCAGTCTACGTCTGAAATGAGCATCATCTCTTCTCTCCCCACTGAGTCTCTTTTCTAAAGGCCGTGTCACACAGAAACAGTGCTTCTCAAACTCCAATGCATGTGAAAATCACCCAGACGTCTTGGGTAGACCCCGAGGATGTGCATTTCTAACTAGCCCCCATGTGACACCAATGCTGGTGGTCCGGGGCCCCCACTTTGAGAAGCACTGCTCTCCAGCACAGCAAGTCCTCTGGTCTCAAGGACAGAGCTCACTCAAGCCAAATGGTAGACCTCCTCCGCATTCGGAAAGGATGCCTGGACACCAAGCCTCTCTGAAAGTAAACCAGATCAACTAATACGATCGCCTCCAACATTGAGTCCCCAAAACACAGGGTGAGACCGTACTTACAGTTCCTAGCAGATTTCAAGGTTTCCATTTCATTAGAACTTCTGCCAAGAACAACTCAGAGATTTTACTGCCCAAATAAAACTGTCTTAAAGTGGCATTGCATGACCCGCGAGAAAGCACGGCTTTCTTCCTTCTCCTTTGAAGTTAGAACTTGAATTTGTTCACGAAGATACTTTGGGGAGAAGGAAGAAGTGGAAGCAGAAGGTGGCTGTGGGGGTTACGCAGAGCTCCGCTGGGGCTGTACCTAAAGAAAGCCTCAGTGCCGAACATACACCTCAGTAACCACGGCAAACACTTCCATGTGTCGAAATAAAGTTGGCAGGTGGGGCATAGCACATGGGATGAGCCCCATGTGGAAGGAGCCCTGTGCTCCCCGGAGGATATGCTCAACTTGGACCCCTCCTAAAATGCTCTGGCTTTGGCAGGTCACAGACCCCCCCAGGTCTAGCACTTTCAAAGCCAGTTACCCCTTTGGTCTAGCGTTGGCCTTCACAAGCTACAGTGTAAAAGGCCAGGGAGCGGGTAACTCTCATGCAATGCAACAGAGAGGCATGGCATGCACGTGCACACCCCCCAGCCACAAGCAGAAGCAGCCCCTTTGCTTTGGCAGGTCTTGCTTGCAGGGACCCACATGCTGGTTTCCACCCCTTCATGGAGGACAACGGTAACACAGGTAAGATGATTACATGGACTGGCAGACCGTACCCTACCTGGCAGCTACTTACCCTCCTGGGACCCGGCTTGCAAGCAGACATGGCCAGGACTAGCACCCAGGAGCGAGGGGGCCCGGCACAGCCCCCACCCTGGGGAGCCAGCGCAAGGAAGGACTTTCCCCGCCCCTCCCCCAGTCCCAGGCTGTCACAGGCTCCCTGACATCTCTTCATGCTCATCTTGTCATCACATTACCAATGATACAATGTGCTGTTGAAAAGTACCATTTGTGGGCGCCTGGGTGGCTCAGTTGGTTAAGCGAATGCCTTCGGCTCAGGTCATGATCCTGGAGCCCCGGGATCGAGTCCCGCATCAGGTTCCCTGCTCGGCGGGGAGTCTGCTTCTCCCTCTGACCCTCCCCTCTCATGCTCTATCTCATTCTCTCTCTCAAATAAATAAATAAAATCTTAAAAAAAAAAAAAGTACCATTTGTAACCCCCCCCCCCACACACACACACAGAGGTGCCATCTAGCCCCAGGGAAAACACTTGACAGCCCTCCTGATCTTTCCCCGACCTTCCCTCTTCCTACCCCCTTCCTCCCAAAAACATCCCCCTCCCCTGGCACTTGTGTAGCCCCACTGCCTTATGGGCCATTTGTCACAACCTGAGAGTTTGTTCCTTTGCGACAGGATCACAATTAGCCCTCATTTTTTCCCATTATCTGCCACATGATAGTTACTCAAGAAAATGCGAGTGGAGTAGAAGAGAAGAGAATGGATTGGATTGGACTGGAATGGACAGGACTAGCCCTGCCTTTCCGCAGTCCCCCTTACTCACAGGCTCTCATCCCTGGCTACAAAGAAGAGCCATCTGGGGGAACTCCTGATGGTCAGGCCCCAGGCTCTCTCGTTGGTGGGCCCCATCTCCGGAGTTCCTGATCCAGTCTGTCTGGGTGGGCCTGAGAGCTTGAATTCCTAACAGGTTCCCAGGTGCTGCTGCTGGCTTGGGACCACATTTTGAGGATCACCGGCCTCGAGGCAACGGGGAACATTTCTGGCCGTTGACTGGGGGTTCCCTGGTCATAGCAGTGTGGGAGGTACTGGAGGAGGAGGGCATATGGAAGCACGAGGTGACGAGCCTCGAGCCTCGGGTTGTGGAAGCGGGAAGGAAGACGTCTGTGCAAGAGAGATTCTGAAGGAAGAACTGACCATCTTTGTGGCTGACTCTAGTGATCAGAAGCGGGGGGAGCTGGTGGTGACGGGCCCATGTTATAGGGGGGAGGGTGGCTTTGGGAAGAAGACCAAGAATCTGTTTAGGCACCTGGTGTTTGCAGAGGCAACAGCTGGACTTTGCAGGGGGTTGTTGTGGTATTGGTATATAACTGGTATTAAGAGCTCGCCAGGAGATCTCAAAGAGCAGCCAGGGTTGAGAACCACGGTGCTGGCTTTTAGCTAGGTGCCGGAGACGCTGGGCACCTCCTGCCTTGAGTTAGATGTCTGGAGATAGCCTGGATTTGAACTGGACCTTCCTCTGACCCCGGGGCTCTAGGCCCTGCCCTGGCTTCCAGCCCCCAGCTGCCCCGGGGCCCCAGAAGCTGGGCGGGGCTGCACAGATTTGCATTCATCCTCTGGTCACCACCCATGCTGAGAAGTGAGACATGGGGATGTCCTTCCAAGGCACGGCATCCATGAGCCTGAGGTTGCAGGAGATGAAAGGGGCCTGCAGACTTCATCTGAAGATGCACAGCTATAAAGGAAGGCCTGTGGCAGACAGAACTGGAGGCCCTGAGGCTGCTTGGTTTGAAAGGATGCAATAATCCTCCACGAAGTGGTGCTCTTAAAAGAGATATCTGAAGTTTGCTAAGATGTGGTATCCTACCAAAGCAATATGTGTCCAATAAAATGCATCAGTTATCACCTGATAGTGTAACAGTTCTGAGTGGTTCCTTTGCGATTCTCTTTGTTCCGGGTGCTGGCTTTGAAGGGTTTCTGTACTGCGTTAGGAGAGCGTTATAAATCAGCTAGCGTTAACTCCAGCCCAGGCTCCGAAGCACGACGAGCCCTCCTGGCCACGTGGAAAATGCATGAGGGAGGTACTGACTTTTATCACCTCCGGACATCAGCACAACTTCTCAGCAGAATGGAGAAAATGCTTTTAAGATAATGTTAAAAAAAAAAAAAAAAATATATATATATATATATATATACACACACACATATCTCTGTCCTATAGATGCTCCGGAACTGAAGAACACACCTGTCTGAGGGGAGGACACCGCGTGACTGCCTGCCTTGCTGTCCTATAAAGACCTCACTGGAATTTCAGGGCCCGGGGAGCCCCTTCTTCAGGAGGCTGTGGCTCCTTGGTTAACTGGCGTGGGTTTTAAGTGGCCTTCTCCCTGTCGATGGGTTAGTGTGGGTGGTTTGAGAGGATGGAGCAAATGGGGTTGTTAGCTTGCTTCCTGCGTGAGCAAGTCTGCTTCCAAGAAGCAAAAACAATCCTGTGACTGCAGGCCCTTCTGCAGCTGCCTCCACCTTTCTGGGCGGGCCTCAGCGGAGCTCCTGTGGAAGGAGCATGTCCGACCCCACACGGGCAAGA